AGATGAGGTGAATCATAGAATTGATGAGGGAAAAAGAGTGAGTGGTGCACTTAGGAGTCTGTGGAGACAGAGAACTTTGTCCTTGGAGGCAAAGAGGGGAATGTATGAGAGTATAGTTTTACCAACGCTCTTATATGGGTGTGAAGCATGGGTGATGAATGTTGCAGCGAGGAGAAGGCTGGAGGCAGTGGAGATGTCATGTCTGAGGGCAATGTGTGGTGTGAATATAATGCAGAGAATTCGTAGTTTGGAAGTTAGGAGGAGGTGCGGGATTACCAAAACTGTTGTCCAGAGGGCTGAGGAAGGGTTGTTGAGGTGGTTCGGACATGTAGAGAGAATGGAGCGAAAACAGAATAACTTCAAGAGTGTATCAGTCTGTAGTGGAAGGAAGGCGGGGTAGGGGTCGGCCTAGGAAGGGTTGGAGGGAGGGGGTAAAGGAGGTTTTGTGTGCGAGGGCTTGGACTTCCAGCAGGCATGCGTGAGCGTGTTTGATAGGAGTGAATGGAGACAAATGGTTTTTAATACTTGACGTGCTGTTGGAGTGTGAGCAAAGTAACATTTATGAAGGGATTCAGGGAAACCGGCAGGCCGGACTTGAGTCCTGGAGATGGGAAGTACAGTGCCTGCACTCTGAAGGAGGGGTGTTAATGTTGCAGTTTAAAAACTGTAGTGTAAAGCACCCTTCTGGCAAGACAGTGATGGAGTGAATGATGGTGAAAGTTTTTCTTTTTCGGGCCACCCTGCCTTGGTGGGAATCGGCCAGTGTGATAATAATAAAAAAAATTATTTGGTAAGCCACGTGGCCCTATAGGCTTTACTCCACAAGGATTGGTAACAACAATGCATGGCTAAAATGGATATCAATAAATAACTAAAAGGCACAATACCATGAGTGGAGCAATACACAAGTTACCCGCACACAGGAGAGAGGAGTTCATGACGTTTCAGTCCGACTTAGACCATTTACAAAGTCACACTAACAAAAAGCAGAGGAGGCATTATATATAGGCCAGCAGACAGGGACGGGATAAGAGAGGTAGTAGGAAAGGAGGTAGTCGTAGTATAGTGGAGCAAGTCAAATACTAAGAAAGAGGAGCACTGAAAGGGAACTAGGGGCCCACAAAAGGTAGGAACAAAAACACAGGGAGTGGGGGAAATAATAATAATGGACCAAATACCCAAGGCAGAAGAAAGTAAACCCAAAGGAGAAAGAGGAAAAAAGAATCAGGTTAAGTCAAGGGTGTTCTGAAGTTTGGAGCATTTTACAATGTAATGGGAAAGGAAGGCATCTACAGAGACAAAGCCAAGACTAAGATTAATACAAAGAAAGGTAGGTAAGACACATAGGCAACTTTATTCCGAAATGTTTCGCCTACACAGTAGGCTTCTTCAGTCAAGTACAGAAAGTAGGCAGGAGCAGTAGAGATGTGAAGACGACGTAATCAGTCCATCACCCTTGAAGGACTGATTACATCGTCTTCGCATCTCTACTGCTGCTGCCTACTTTCTGTACTCGACTGAAGAACTGAAGAAGCCTACTGTGTAGGCAAAACGTTTCGGAATAAAATTGCCTAACTGTTGCCTATGTGTCTTACCAACCAACCTGTCGGTATTGTATACCATTTTGATATTCACTCATACAAGAAAAGTTGTGTATGTAGATGACATCTTTGCTCTTTGGCCTCATGACTCTAGTTTCTTTCAACCATTTCTTGATGCCCTTAATAATCTTACCCTTTCCATTAAGTTTAAAGCAGAATGGGAATCTAATATGATAAACGGTTTTGAAAACCGACAAGTTGAAGATTGAGACACTTATGCAACATATGGGAATCTTTATTAAGGAAATGTTTTGCCACACACTGGCTTCATCAGTCCAATACAAAGTAGAAATGGGTACGGAGAGGAAGAGTTTGAGGTAGTCCAGGCTGAGGGACTGATTACCTCAAACTCCTCCTCCGTACCCATTTCTACTTTGTATTGTACTGATGAAGCCACTGTGTGGCTTCATCAGTACAATACAAAGTGGGCCAACAGGCCTGCTCCAGTGTTCCTCCTTTCTTATGTTGTATAAGTGTCTCAATCTTCAATGAGAATCTAATTCCTTGCTTCCTTTCCTTGATGTTAATATCCACCTTTCAGATACAGGTTTTGGTTTTTCCGTGTAGCACAAGCCTATGTACAGTGGCATATACATTCACTACTGTGATAAATGGTTTGAAAACTGATAAGTTGAAGATTGAGACACTTATGCAACATATGGGAATCTTTATTAAGGAAACGTTTTGCCACACAGTGGCTTCATCAGTCCAATACAAAGTAGAGAGGGTCAACATTTTACTTTCCAGGAACTTTGCCAAGCTGATACAAACAATACATGGACACAGAGGGTATATATAGGCTTTGAGTGAGGTGTAGTACAAGTAGAGGTAGTAGTAGTTGTAGTTATTCATGTGGTGGAAAAGCTTTGGGTAGGGGTAGTTTTGATAAGGACCTGCCTTGTATGGGCCAGTAGGTCTTCTGCAGTGTTCCTCCATTCTTATGTACCACAGTTATTTCAACATGTCTTGAATGTCAGTTCTCACCCGTTCATGTATCTTGGTTCATGAACATGATTGATATCACCAATAAGCAAAAGTAAAGCTCAAAATATGATAATTACCTGACCCTTTGTCTGTTTAACCCAGCCACATATACACCACCTGGACCAAACTCACTGGTGGGCGGTGCAGCAGACACAGGATGTTACGTCACTGATGACTGATCATAGTGATGCCAGGGTGATTAAGGGTTTTTCCAAAACATCGCAACAAAATATCAATTTATTGTAGATTATCATATAGTGTCATTGATTTTCCCTATACTATAGGCCTATTGGTACTCTGTAATCATATAATAGGCTATATAGAAACAAAGGATTTTTCTCTTGTGTTTCTCCTTATGTTCTTAGTGTCACCTTCTTTAGAGCCTCTTTGGTGTCACCTGGGGCAGCCCCCCCCCCCCCCCACAATGCTTCTGGCTCCAATCAATTTGTCTAAAGTTAAAATCTCCTATTAGCACAATATTTTCATATCTAGATGCCTTATGAATTTCGTCCCATAACAGCTTACTGCACTCCCTATCAAGGTTTGGGGGCTTATAAATAACACCCAAAATTAATTTGTCATGACCCTCGAGAAACAGATTTTGTGTCTGGTGTTTCTAATCTTATATCATGTCTTAAGACAATTTAAATTATCTTTGACATACATTGCCACTCCACCACCGTTCCTGTTGACCCTATCAGTGTGGAATAATTTATAACCCTGTATGTTGCATTCAGAAAGCATTTCTTTATCTTTCAGGTTTAACCAGGTCTCTGTTATACCAATAATATCTGTATTACCTACACTTGCAAGTAATCTTAACTCGTGTATCTTATTTCTTAGACTCCTACTATTTGTATAGCAAACCTTAAGGGAGCTAGTCACTAGTTGCCCTCTACTATCTCTGTTGATTTGCCTTTACTAGCAACTTTATTTTGAATATTGAACATACCCCTGAGGTATCCCAGTAATATCTGCTGTTTTCAACCCTAATACTGCAGCCTGATTGTTTCTCACAAACACCCATACCTCTATAATCTCTCAGTTTAAAGTTCTAGACAAGTCATTAGTTACCCCCTCAATCGAATTGGCTAATGCAGCCACTCCAGCCCCAGAGAGATGAACCCCATCCCTTGCATACATATCACATTTGCCATATAATTTGTCCCAGTTATCAGTGAATGGGATTGCAAGTTTTTGCAGTACCTGTCTAGCCAGCAATTTATACCAGTTGCCCTAGACATGCATTCATTGCCCACTCCCTTTCTTGGCAAGATGCTACATATGACTAGGATCCCTCCCTTAGACCTGACTACTTCTATGGCTGACCTGTACATATCCAGCAGCTCCTGTCCTTCCCAATGTCATTACCCCCAGCACTAAGACAGATAATGGGCTTGCTCCCATTACCTGACATAATATTATCTAACCTGCTGATTATGTCACCAACACCAGCTCCTGGGAGGCACACCCTCTGTTACAAAAAGTACGGTCCATATATCTTACCTGAGAATCTCCTACAATTAAAATATTCTTACCTTGATTAGCAGGGGAATCAGTGGTGCCTTAAACATCACTAACCACTGAAGTACATTTGTCCTGGAGAATAGATTTCCTACCTTCACATCTTCTCTATTAACTCTCTTTATCTTCCTTCTTCCTGAACTGTGCACCACTTGCCACTTAAAGCAGGTGCCACTCTCACTGCTGGTGACCATTTCCTCCTCACACTTACTCCCAAACCCATCTAGGTGAAGCTTCAGCCTCCTATTTTCCTCCTGAAGAAGTAGAATCTCCTTCTTCAACACTTGAACCTGAGATTCTAAAACACTACAACAAGCCATGGTGCTTGGTAACAACCCACGCTAACTCCCAGAGAGCTTAGGCAGGTATGACCAACAAATTGTGGAAAAGGACATGTGTGTAGAGCTCAGGGCATTTATTAATTGAAATGTTTCACCACGAGTGACTTCACCAGTCCTAATATAGTAAGTTGCAACAGGTAATATATAGTAGACTATGCTGGTGGCCTGTAGCAAAACTGAGATGATGCAGAAAATATGTTTGACAATTGTATATTTGTCCTTTGTCACATAAAACTGTGGATTTGTTAATACTGTACATTATTAAGAGATCATTAAAGATTTCTTTTAACACTGGCCGTCTCCCACTGAGGCAGGGCGACCCGAAAAAGAAGGAAGAAAAAGTTTTTCTTTTTACATTTATTAATTTTTAAAGGAGAAGAAAAAGTTTTTCTTTTTACATTTATTAATTTTTAAAGGAGAAAGGGTTACTAGTTTCCTGGTCCTGGCATTTTAGTTGCCTTATGCAACACTATAGCTTATGGAGGATTCTCCACTTCCCCATAGTCCAAAAAAAAATGTCTCTTAGTAATTTTATTGTTATTTTTCTTAGGGCTCTGATGTGACATGGGCTGGTCTTCTTGGATTAAAACAAGATCATGCAGCTGTTCAGATGTTATACGTTTCGGGCAGTAGTGATGTTGCAAGAGGAGCCTTAAGAGTATATCCTGATGGAAGCACCTCCCCCATTCGTATTGGACAAAGAATGAGACTTGAACAAACCCAACTTGAAGGAGTGGCTAGAAAGATTCAGGTATGTTAAGCTACTGTTCTTAATTTTTTAATGGTTATAATGTGAGTGGAGTGGAGACAAATGGTTTTTGGACTTGAAGAGCTGTTGGAGTGTGAGCAGGGTAATATTTTGTGAAGGGATTCAGGGAAACCAGTTAGCCGGACTTGAGTCCTGGAGGTGGAAAGTACTATAATGCCTGCACTTCAAATGAGGGTTTGGGATATTGGCTGTTTGGAGTGACATTTAAACTGTTGTAACTGAGCACCTCTGCAAAGACAGCGATTATGTATGAATAATGATGAAAGTTTTTTTCTTTCTTGGGGGGAAAAGGATTTAAAGATGGTTACATGCAACATTATTTTGTTGCAGATGGAAGCAGAACATTGTATGCTGCTAGCACTACCACACGGTCGAGACTCCTACGATTTCATGCAGCAACAAAACAGTCTTCGCAATGGCATAATCAACTACCTAGTGGTGAAACAGGCTGCTGGCATTGTCAATGTTTCAGCGCCGGGAACACAGCAAGTTGGTATCCAAATATTTCCATTGAACTTGTGTAATTTTTATTATTCTGTTTTGATTACCATGGTGTAGAGTTGATCACAGGTTAGTTTACTGGAGACACTGTGAAATCTTGATGAACAAAAATGCACAATACTGTGACTGGAACAATACACAAATAACCTGCATGTAGGAGAGAGAAAGTTAAAACAATGTTTTGATCTGACTTGCACTACTACGACTATCACTCATTACTGCTACTATTATTATGATTGCTATTACCTCCCTCCACCCTCATTTCTTCTGTTGTGCCCCTAAAACCTACATTCTACTACCAGCCTTATTACTGCTACTAGTTCTTCCTCTCTTGGTCACATCCCTGTCCCCCCCCTCACCTGTATATACTGGCTCCCTCACTCTTTTGTGTTGTTGTGATTGTAATTGGTTCAAGTCGGACTGAAACTTGATTTTGAAGGTGGTGATAACATGAGGTTTATCTTATATGACCCCTGAAAGGAGGTTCCTTAATGCTGGTGAGGGGCTCTTGGTCTAGGGAATTGGATCTGTGTGCCAGTTCCCTGAATTGAGTGAATACCTTCCATTCCCCCCCCCCCCCTCCTGCACAGGTGCTGTTTAACCCCTATGGGTTTAGTGCTCCCCCTGATTATAATATCTTGTTTGAATTATTGAATTTTTTCTATTTCATATTTTGTGTGCGTTAATAATTTTCAGATAAATCCCATGTGTGGTTTGATTTTTCCATTTATATTTGGTCTTCTGTCTTTAAGTAGTACTCTAATCTGGTTATTATTGGTATTCATTAGAATAATCATAATCGAGAAAAGATTTGGGCCTGGGAAATCTCTTGAGTACATTTAGAACAAAATTCTATGGTTAGTTTTTAATTTAGGGCTTGTGTGCCTCTCTCTCCCCCCCCCATCAAAAAATAAAGGGCATAAAAAATATTCATAACTGGTTTGTACCAATAAAAAATGACATGCATAAAAAAATTAATACATTTGATAAAGAATGTTATAAAAAATTGACAATAAATATATTTTGAACCCAGCCTACTATAAGAAAATTACCTTGTTTATCATTCAAATTAATTTTTTTTTAGAAAGTTGAACCAGAGTAGAAAAATATTGAATGAGGAAATCTTTCTTTCAACACACCGGCCATATCCCACCGAGGCGGGGTGGCGCAAAAGGAAAAACGAAAGTTTCTCCTTTTACATTTAGTAATATATACAGGAAAAGAGGTTACTAGCCCCTTGCTCCCGGCATTTTAGTCGCCTCTTACAACACGCATGGCTTACGGAGGAAGAATTCTGTTCCATTTCCCCATGGAGGTAAGAGGAAATAAACAAGAACAAGAACTAGTAAGAAAACCCAGAGGGGTGTGTATGTACATATATGTGTAGTGTGACCTAAGTGTAACTAGAAGTAGCAAGACGTACCTGAAACCTTGCATGTTTATGAGACAGAAAAATGGACACCAGCAATCCTACCATTGCTGAATGAGGAAATATTTAGAAAAAATGGTTGGTTTGACAATGTGTTTTTTTATATATCTTAACTATTCACTGATTTCTTTATCTTCTGTTTAGTTTATCTATTTTATTTTCAGCATCATTAGGGTAGTGATCTAATATGCTTTTGCAAATTCTTTTCAGCCTGCATATGTGGTCCACATCTTTCCACCTTGTGATTTTGCCAACGAAAACCTGGCTCGAATCTCGCCAGATCTTTTGCATCGTGTAGCAGAGATCTCCTACCTCCTTGTTGTCATAGCTACTTGCTGAACCCAAGACACCTTACTCATCTTTATTAAAGACGACAGAATCCTCGAGTGCAAATCCTCCTGAAGCCTTGAAGGCCTGTCACACAGGATACATGATATTATTGCTCCATCGCATGAGCACGACTCAATCTGTCAAGCTATTTGGAAGTCTGATATTGGTGTATATTTTACGTACCTGCATCATTACAAGCAACTATATCAAAGATCAGCAAATAATCAACATTGCCAATATTTGGGAGTGTTGATTATCATCTTGTGCTATTGTAAATCACTTTCCTATTTTTATGTCTGCAGTAAAAGCAAATAGAAAGATTAAAAAGCTCAAATTACTTTATCTTTAGATCAACCACTTAGAAAACATAGTCCTCACCCTGAAAAGTACTGTTAAGTGAAATGGTCTTCTGAGAATGGATAGGACAGTTCCATTACTCTTGCTGTATGTAGTTAGTACACTACAAAATCTTTAGAAAAATATATCTTAAAAGCCTGAAATATTACTGGTCGTATTTGTAAGAATTATGATTCAGTATCTTGCCAATATAACTATAAAAATATAAAGACTGTGAAAACACTAATGTATACTAAAACTGTATTGACGCTGTAAAATAAACTTACAGCATCGTGATATGTGATAAGAATTAATTTATTATGTGCATATAGGATAGAAATGATGTCTATATGACAAAGATTTAGTGCAGTGGAAGTGGATGGTAATTTGTACAAAGCATTAACATAAACCTGTCAAGAAAGTGAAGGAAATGTGTTGTGAGGTGATAATGGTGTAAATTCCAGATGTTTATAAACACAACTTTTTCCGTACATGATGTTTGCATAACTGCAAATTTAGGCTGATGCCTTATTCAAGGTGTGATACTTTGAGAAGTCTGACAACAAATCAGAAAAGCATTTAATGGGACTTGGTGTCATGTTAGAAGAATGTGAAAGTGATAAGTTTGTGTCACTGTTGTGTTTTGACTGTTTGATGTGTGCAGCTTGCAACATCCAGATGTTCCTGTAACCACAATACATGTACTATATGAGGTCATCACCACTATCACAAAGCAATGGTGTGGCAAAGTATGGTGCTGTGGCCTTGTCTATTGTGCTACACTACTTCTTCAGACAACATGCACCCAAGGACATACCAAATAAACTATCATGACTAATTTCACAAGAGTGATGTATGAGTGTTGTGTAAATTGTGCAAGACACAAAGTTTGTGTGGCCTAACCAGCCCTGGGCCCAATGGTGCCTGTATGCCGCCTATAGTCTTTAGACAAGCTGTATAGTTGTACATAATGATATTGATTGTAAATTAATTCTTTTTTACTGTTCATTTTGGTGGAATTGTACTTAAAAGCTGCCACAACCACCATCATGATAGGTGAAGTACACACAGTTTGATCCACAAACACTGATGAAGCTGTGTGTCTACACTCAAATGTTTATTATGTGTGCACACTGCACTCAGGGTGGCTGTGTGCAGCCCATTGTTATTGTCTGTACAGATCTTCGTATGAAGTCACCCTGATTTATTTATTACCAGTCATCTTGTTCATCATATATCATCTTTCTCTTGCATACTCCCCCTCATAAGCGATGCTCTGCCTCCTTGTTGTATACAGACACAAACACACACACATGTCTCATCACTTCGTGTGTCAGATATAAAAATAACCACCTTAATATACACTGTCTTTAACCTCCCTTTCTCTATACCTAGTGTTTCTATCATGTTCCTCTTCCTTCTTCCTGACTCCTCAGCACAGCCCTCAGGAACCTTCTGCTATCTTGCTGCAGCACTTACTCTAAAAACATTCTATATTAAATGTCTGCCTCTTTTAGATGCTTTTTTCTTAATGTATGGTCTGCTATGACTCTGTCATGCATATGTATTTTTCTCTTTAAAAATACACCAAACCCTTAGAATATTCCTTATTATTTTAAAGCTTGCAAAAATCATCATGCAAATTAGGCCATCTCTCTTCCCTTTTTCAAAGCAGCTGTTTATTCCTTGCTCGCCTGTCACACTCCTCACTTGATTAAGGTGTCAGACAGATTCTCATAATATAAGAAGGCGCCTGATGCGGATTAGCCTGCCGCTGCTACGCCACTCTTCAATAGATATTAAAAGGAAAAAACTACAAACTATTTGGTCTAGAGTCGAAAAGCTTTCTCATTTCTGCACTGTTTTCAGTTTCTCGGCAGAATTCACTCTATTGTATGTTTGCTCAAGAAGTTAGCGGAATTCTATTTTCACTTTTTATTAATATTATGTATAACGTGGCAAATATATTTTTGATGTACAGTTTGAAAATGTGAAAAAGTGTTTACTTGTAAGTGTACTTGTTAAGTGTTGCATAAGAGATATGTGGTGTGCCTGAGGCGTTTGTAAATAGGTCTAAATAAACTTTTAGGCTGTGATCCTCAGTTCTCTAGAAGCTTCTTTGGTCAGAAAATTTATTAAAAAGTCCAGTGACCAATTTAAATTATTTCAAAACCCAATAAAGATCACAATGAAATATATAAATAGTTTTTGTTTGTCCTACTCAATCTTCTCCAGTGTCTCTTGTTAAAAAAAAAAAAAATATAGGTGTTTCTCTTGGTATACAGCGTCTCCTCACTTAGCAACGACATGGACTGTAACCAGTATGCATACCTTAATATGGATTAAAGCTGATTTCCATTATTCTGGTTATTACAGTAAACTGTTATATAAATGGAACAAAGGCAATATGAAAAAAAAATGATAAACTAGATAAATTATATGCTTAGCAGCAAATTTGTTTACCAATATAGTCTTAGGAATGGAACTCGATTATTAAGTGACAAGAGGCTTTAGTTTCCAGAGAATCTTGAGGTAAGTTGGTAATGTGAAGGAAACTGTACTATATGACTTACAGATAGTTTCTTTTTTATAATAATCAAGCCAGCTACTTGAAGAAGACTCCCCTCAAGGAAGGTTCCTTGATGTTGGTGAGGGGCTCTTGATTTAGGGAATTGGATCTGTGCTCCAGTTCCCCGAATTAAGCCTGAATGCCTTCCACATCCCCCCCCCCCCAGGCGCTGTATAATCCTCCGGGTTTAGCGCTTCCCCCTTGATTATAATAATAATTTAAGAAGACTAGTATCGATTATTCATATTATAGAAGTTGCTATACCCACAGGGTTAATTCAGCTCCGATTCTTCGATATCATTAGAACTTATAGAAGCCGGAGGCAAGTGTGTTAATGTGATGTCTCATTAAAAAGTGGATGGAACCTTCAAATGTAAAGGTTTTGAAGAGGACAGTATACACATGACTCAGTAATCATATAAATCTTGAAAACCAAGTTTCTTTCAAGGGAGGTTCCTTGATGGAAGGTTGCTGTTTGAGCCTAGAGTTTAGTATTCTTTTTTAACACATCTGCTGTATAGCCCTTGTGGCTTAACGCTTCTTTTTGATTATAATATAATACAATAATTTTTTAACACACAAACTGTTGAGCACCAGGGAATGGTGGGTGAAGGTAAAGAGAAACTTAACTATCTTGTTTGTAAAGTAAAAGGACACAAGTGCAACTAATGTGACATTTTATTGTGGCAACGTTTCGCTCTCCAGGAGCTTTATCAAGCCAGGAGAGCAAAACGTTGCCACAATAAAATGTCACATTAGTTACACTTGTGTCCTTTTACTTTACATGTTGTCGGTAATTCTACCAACTTTATTACAATCTTTCACTATCTTGCCAGAGTCAGTTATGAAACTGTAGCATAAACACCCTTCAAGGGAGGTTCCTTGATGCTGGTAAGGGCTCTTGATCCAAGGAATTGGACCTGACCTTTGACTTGAATCCAATTAGCCCCTCACTTCCTACATGCTAAATGACTTATGGGTTTAGCTCTACCCTCTATAATTAGAGAACCCTTGAGGGAAATTCTACATTCTGGTGATAGTGCTGTATGACCCTTGTGGGTTTAGCACTTCCTTTTGATTATAATTAGATTAGGCCATTAATTCCAAGGAAAATTAATTTTCCTTCCATTATGACCCTGTACGAGTTTAGCTCTTTATGATAGGTCTCTAGATGAATGATTTACATGATCTGGTGAGAGGACTTTTGATCCAAGGAACTGGGCTGATCCTCTCCTTCCTTGGAACAAATGTAATAGCCTAGCCAGTGTATAAACCATTAAGGGCTAAGTCATGCTCCTTGGGGCCGGTCAGTCATGTATACCTTAAAAAAAAAAAAAAAAAAAAAGGAATTTTAATATCTTCGTTTGCCATATAGATCATCGTAGCTGCACAAGATAAATTATTTGAGTTTATTTCTGAGTTTATTCCCCTCAAGGAAGGTTCCTTGATGTTGGTGAGGGGCTCTTGATTTAGGGAATTGGATCTGTGCTCCAGTTCCCCGAATTAAGCCTGAATGCCTTCCACATCCCCCCCCAGGCGCTGTATAATCCTCCGGGTTTAGCGCTTCCCCCTTGATTATAATAATAATAATAATCTGAGTTTATTTCATTATCATATAAATCATTCTTGTCCGCTCATCATTCTATAAAAAATATTATAGTAATACACAGTAAGTATACATATATAAAACTACTAATAAACTAAATAAATACTAATATTAATATAATATTGCGCCATGTAATAAGAACTGATGACTTAACATTTACATAAGTTGCATCACCCATCATAATTTGCGATTCAGAAAAATAATTCCCATTTAAGCATATTTTAATATTCTCTAATTATCTGTTAAGCGATAAACATCTTTACTATAATTATATCAAAGATGTTTATCGCTTAATAGATAATTATAGAGAATATTTTTCTGAATCGCAAATGATGTTGGGTGATGCAACTTATGTAAATGTTAAGTCATCAGTTCTTATTACATGGCGCAATATTATATTAATATTAGTATTTATGTAGTTTATTAGTGATTATATACATGTATACTTATTGTATATTACTAAAATATCAATATTTATAGAATGATTTATATGGTAACGAAATAATCCTAAAATAATTTATCTTGTGCAACTACGATGATCTATAATATTTTATAATGACAGATGAAGATATTTATTAAAAATTGAATATATGTACTCATTTGCGGTTGCAAAGGTTGAGTCATAGCTCCTGTTCCCGCCTCTTCACTGGTCGCTACTAGGTCCTCTCGCTCCATGAGCTTTATCATACCTCATCTTAAAACTATGTATGGTTCCTGCCTCCACTACACTTCCCAAACTATTTATTCAGCTTCCTGACAATTCTGTGGCTGAAGAAATACTTCCTAACATCCTTGTGACTCATCTGAGTCAATTTCCAATTGCGTGTGTGTTTAATGCATCTAAGACAATTCAGTTATTTCAATACTCTATAAGAAAAAAAAATAACGAACTAAATGAAAGCTAATAAACACAGATGTTGTTTTTGGGTTAATGAAGTACGTTAGTGTCATTTATATATCTTTATTAATTTAATGTCAAAAGATCATCAAAAATACACAAAACATAAGTAATGATCAACAGCAGATCATAAGAGAAGGTTACTGTGTTGACCAACCATTGTGACGTCAACAATAACAAAAAACAACCAATCAGCAGCCACCTTATAAGTCCTTTAGGTACTCATGCTGCTAGAGTACTTTACCCTCACTGTGATTGGCTATAATGCTAGATGTAAACAAAGTTTCTACCAATGAAATGCGAGTTTTTGAGTGACGTCACTTGGGAGTTGCTCAGCTTAGCAACCTTCTCTTATGACTTGCTGTTGACGATCTTACGAGTTACTGTTGATTATTTTAGTGACAATTCTCTCGCTAGATGGCACTCCATAAAAAATACACAAATTTGCTTAAAGAAATAATGAATAGAGAAATATTGCTAGCTAGGAAGACATGTAGGCTGGTATGAACAGCTAGGTAGATATAAATAGCTTTCTAGCAAGATAGATAGATGGATACATTCAGAGCTAGACAGATAGACATAGATAAATGGAATAATAGGTGGATAGATATAGCAAGTTAGATAAATACAAAATTTAAACTTTTTATATTCATATAAATTGAGCAACATTGATCAGTTATCTATAATAAAAATATTATTTACTCAACGAATTAATTGAATGCTAACAAAAATATACAATTTCTGGTGTTTACCTAGAGAGAGTTCTGGGGGTCAACGCCCCCGCGGCTCGGTCTGTGACCAGGCCTCCTGGTGGATCAGAGGCTGATCAACCAGGCTGTTACTGCTGGCTGCACGCAAACCGACGTACGAGCCACAGCCCGGCTGGTCACAGCCGGGCTGTGTTTATTATGAAAAATTTGTGTACTTTTTTTTATGGAGTGACATTTAGTGAGAGAATTTGTCACTAAGATAATCAACAGCAAGTCATAAGAGAAGGTTGCTAAGCTGAACAACTCCCACGTGACATCACTCAAAAGCTGGCATTTCATTGGTAGAAAATCTGTTTACATCTAGCATTATAGCCAATCACAGTGATGGTAAAGTACTCTAGCAGCATGAGTACCTAAAGGACTTGTAAGGTCACTGCTGATTGGTTATTTTTGGTTAATGTTTACGTCACATCTAGCAGCATGAATACCTAAAGGACTTGTAAGATGAATGCTTATTGGTTGTTCTTTGTTATTGTTGACGTCACAATGGTTGGTCAACACATTAATTTTCTCTTATGATCTGCTGTTGTTCACTATGAATATGACAAAGAAAATGTTAACAATGCTCCATTAGAGCAGAAATTGCACATGTTTTTTTTATTTCATTTCAATTAATAAGTAATTTTTTTCTTAAAGATAAACATTAACCAAAAACAACCAATTAGCAGCCACCTTGCAAGTCCTTCAGGCACTCATGCTGCTAGAGTACTTTACCCTCACTGTGATTGGCTATAATGCCAGACGTAGTTTCTACCAATGAAATGCTAGTTTTTGAGTGACGTCACGTGGGAGTTGTTTAACTTAGCAACATTGTCTTATGACTTTCTGTTGATTATCTTAGTGACAAATTCTCTCACTAGATGGCACTCCATAAAAAATACACAAATTTGCTTAATGAAATAATGAATAGATTATTATTTTCATCAAACAGAAGTGGTATACCACAAGGGTCAATGAATAGATAAATTGCTAGCTAGGAAGATAAATAACTGGAGATATGTAGGCTGGTATAGACAGATTGACATAGACAAATGAGAAGATAGGTGGATATAAATAAATAGCAAGATAGACTGATATTCAGAGCTAGATAGATAGATAAATGGAATGAGAGGAGGATAAATAGATATAGCTAGATAGATAAATACATAGACTGGTGAAATCAAAATAAGTTAGAATAATACAAAATTGAAAATTTTCATTTATTTAGGGTTTTCTTAAAATATTCATATAAAATAATAATTGAGCAACATTTATCAGTTATAAGAAAAATATTATTTACTTAACGAATTAATTGAATGCTACCAAAAATATGCAATTTCTGGTGTAATGGAGCACCTTTGTCATGTGTTTATTTATATA